CACTCTCTCTCTCTCACTCTCACACACACACACACACACTCTCACTATCTCTCTCACACACACACACACACATCAGAAGTACTAATTTGTTTTCTGCCTTAAACCTGAAATTATGTGAGATCCTCAGAGGTGGATTGTATTTTATTTCTTTGGAAATGTGAGTGTGTGTGTGAGAGAGAGAGATAGTGAGTGTGAGTGTGTGTGTGTGTGTGTGTGGGAGAGAGAGAGATAGTGAGTGTGAGAGTGTGACTGTGTGTGTGTGTGTGTGTGTGTGTGTGTTTATCACTTCCTGTTGTTTTAGATGTCCGTTGTAAAGCCACGTGGACACTACAGTACAGTGAAACCACAAGAAAGCGTGTGTCATGCAAGGGCGTAGTTTTGGTTTGAACATGGGGGGAGGGGGGGGGGGGGAAGGGGGAACTGTTTTTGTAGAGTCCCAGGAGTAGAGTCCCAGGTCATGCACAAGGTTTATTTATTTGTTTGTTGGCTTATACATTTATTTTTGTGAAATGGTCTTTTGTGCTATCGTCTATGCAAAGTTGGTGCAATAAAGTAACATCATAGTTAACAATTACTTGTTTACATAGGATATATATATATAGACAGTGCTGCTTGAAAGTTTGTGAACCCTTTAGAATGTTCTATATTTCTGCGTAAATATGACTCAAAACATAATCAAAATTTCACACAAGTCCTGAAAGTAGACAAAGATAACCCAAACAAACAAATGAGACAAAAATATTTTCTTTGCCATTTATTTATTGAGAAAAATTATCCAGTGTTTCATTTCTGTGCAGTGCAAAAGTATGCTTGTTTTCAGTATCTGGTGTGACCCTCTTTTGCAGCAATAACTGCAGGTAAAGTTTCTTGTAACTGCTGATGGGCTTGTAGTAATTCTAGCCCCTTCCTCAGAACAGAACCTCTTCAGCTCTGTGGTGTTATGCGTGTCCTTCTATGAACTGCTTGCTTCAGCTCCTTCCACAACATTTCAATTGAATCAAGGTCCAGACTTCGACTCTGTCATTCCAAAACATTAACTTTGTTCTTCTTTAAACATTCTTTGGTAAAACGACTCGTGTGCTTGGGGTCGTTGTCTTGCTGCACGACCCACTTTCTCTTGAGATTCAGTTCTCGGACAGATTCATTGTTCCATCAATGATGGCAAACTATCCTGGTCCAGATGCAGTAACAAAACATTTCTCCAGTAGCCCTCTGGCTTGTCAGCATGATCTTTAGCAAACTGCAGACTGGATGCACCATGCACACCGGGGTTGCTCAGTGTTCTCCTGATGGTGTACTCATAAACATTAACATCAGCCAATGTGAGAAAGGCCTTTAGTTGCTCAGAAGTTACCCTGGGTTCATTTGCAACCTCGCAGACTATTACAAGTCGTGCTTTTGGAGTGATCTTTGTTGGTCGGCCGCTTCTGGGGAGGGTAACAGTGGTCTTGAATCGCCTCCATTTCTACACAATCGGTCTGACTGTGGATTTGTGGAGTCCAAACTCTTTGATGAGCAACAGCAACTCTTTTTCTGAGGTCCTCAGAGATCTCCTTTGTTCGTGCCATGATTCACTTCCACAAACATGATCGGACTTCGATAGATCCCTGTGCTTTAAATTAAACAGGGCAGTCAATGACACCTGATAGTCATCTCACTGATTAAAAAACACCTCTGAACAGATGCACCCTTAATTTCACTTTCAAATTAACTGCTGATCCTAGAGATTCATCGAAATATGAAATAGGGTCATTTTTCTCAATAAATAAATGAAAAAGAAAATATTTTTGTCTTATTTGTTTGATTGGGTTATCGTTGTTTATTTTCAGGACTTGTGTGAAAATCGGATTATGTTTTGAGTCATATTTATGCAGAAATATAGAAAATTCTAAAGGGTTCACAAACTTTCAAGCGGCACTGTATATGTATATATTTGTGTGTGTGTTGTGCGTGTGTGTGTGTGTATGTGTGAGTGAGTGAGTGAGTGAGTGTGTG